TACGCAAGTTATGTCAGCCCAAACATTTTATTTATAAAAAATTCTGCTGAATAAAATCTCCAAGAGATGGTAGTAAAGCTTTTTTATGATATGAATAAGGCAAAAACTATGTTTAGGAAATGAACATAATTAGATCCAAACAATGAGTCACTTCAAGATATACCGCCTATATCCCTGGTGGGCAGAAGAAGCTACATGTGAAACCACTTCAAACTAATATATGAGTTTGCTTGTAGAAACTATAATCTAGGAAGTATAAAATAATTCATATACCTATAGGCTTGCTAAGTGACATGAGATACATGATCCTAGTAGCAAAAAGGAACAAAATATCCATTTTGCACTGAAGAAGCAAGAGATTGATTTGATACTTGATACACCAAGGGGTATTTTTTAAAATGTATTATTTTTTTATTGCATTTTAGGTTTTGGGGTACATGTGAAGAACATGCAAGATTGTTGCATAGGTACACACATGGCAGTGTGGTTTGCTGCTTTCCTCCCCTTCACCTATATCTGGCATTTCTCCCCATGCTATCTCTCCCCATCTCCCCACCCCGCCATCCCTCCTCCATTTCCCCCCAACAGACCCCAGTGTGTAGTGCTCCCCTCCCTGTGTCCATGTGTTCTCATTGTTCAACACCCGCCTAACATACCAGAATCTCTGGGACACATTTAAAGCAGTCTCTAGAGGAAAATATATAGCAATAAGTACCCACATGAGAAGCAAGGAGAGATCTAAAATTGAAACCCTAGCATCAAAATTGAAAGAGCTAGAGGAGCCAGATCAAAAAAACTCAAAACCTAGCAGAAGACAAGAAATAACTAAGATCAGAGCAGAACTGAAAGAGATAGTGACAAAAAACCCTTCAAAAATTCCACAAATCCAGGAGCTGGTTTTTCGAAAAGATCAACAAAATAGACAGACCACTAGCCAGATTAATAAAAAAGAAAAGAGAGAATAACCAAATTGATGCAATAAAAAACGATAAAAGGGATATCACCATAGATTCCACAGAAATTCAAACCATCATCAGGGATTATTACAAACAATTCTATGCACATAAACTAGTAAACCTGGAAGAAATGGATAAATTCCTGGACACTTGCCTCCTCCCAAGCCTAAACC